ATATATATATATATATATATATATATATATATATATAAAATCAGTAAATAGAGCAATAAAGAAAAAGAAAAAGTAGTCATTATCTCAAAGAGACGTCACTCATTTTTTTTTTTTAATTCATGATAGCTAAAAGATGAAGTGACCCCAAATCCATGGGATTAATACAGGAAAGGAGATAAGTGGGGCGCCTGGGTGGCTCAGTGGGTTAAAGCCTCTGCCTTCGGCTCAGGTCATGATCCCAGGGTCCTAGGATCGAGCCCCACATCGGGCTCTCTGCTCAGCGGCGAGCCTGCTTCCCCTTCTCTCTTTGCCTGCCTCTCTGCCTACTTGTGATTTCTCTCTCTGTCAAATAAATAAATAAATAAATAAATAAAAAGAAAGGAGATAAGTATGTTGTTAAAATATGTGTCATTGTCTTTCTTTTAAAATATATTAAAGAAATTATGTCATTTTTTTTAAAAATATCAAAAATAAGTATTGTGTTTATTGAAACAAGAACAAAAGGAAAACAAATGTTTTTTGGTAGGGCACTTGAAGAGAGGCAGTTATGTATTAGAAACAAAGTAACCTTAGATAAGAACATCTGGCAACAAGTTTATCATAACTGTTTACTAATGACAATTATTTGAAATTTATGACTTGAAAACAAAGTAGATTAATCTTTTGTCTTATAAAATTTTAATGAGCAATACTTTCATTGACAATTTAATAAAACTTCTCCCAAAGGTAAAAATATTCCCTATAAAACAATCCAGTCATTTTATACAAAGTAACAATTTATCTAATCCATAGGAATAAGGGAGAAAAGCTGTCTGAATTTTAGAATAATATAACTTTATTGGTATAATCATGTAAAAGAATTTAATGGATATATTAAAGCCTTATTAAATTTTGTAAATGATCTCAATTAGGCTTTTTATACTTCTAAAACATAAAAGATATAGTGATACAAAAGAGTGACAATAACCAAAAAAAATTTTTTTTTGTTTTTTTTTTGTTTGTTTGTTTGTTTTGGTTGATTGTTTGTTTCTGAGAGAAGGAGAGTATGCATGCAAAGGGCTGCGGGCAGAAGAAGAGGGATAGAGAAAGAATCTTAAGCAGGCTCCATGGCCAGTAGGGAGCCTAATGCAGGGTTCGATCTCATGACCCTGAGTTCATAACTTGAGACAAACCAAGAGCTGGAGACTTAACCAACTGAGCCACCCAGGTTCCCTGCAAAGGAAAAAAAATATTAAATAGTTACTTATTAATTTTGTTTCTCTGTATTTTGACCCCAAACTGTAACTAGGGTATAACTGGGGTTTATGAATGTTTTGAACTAGCCCAAGATGAGATGAACAAAATCCTAAAAGGCATTATAGACACTAAGGCAGTATGTTTACATATGGGACCTGGTTTGATGACTGTGATTATCCATTGTTCCTATCATTATTAACTGAAGAACAGTAATCAGTGGCTATTTTATTAGGAAACAATCATTATTTACTTGTAAAATAAGAATGTTAATCTAGTTCATCAAATGAATAATTTACTCATTTTATATATAATTTTAACTTAACCAATTATGATTTAATATATGGAAATGTTTCTAAAATAAAAAGAAATATGATTTGAAAATTTGAATAAAAAGAATTGATAGTTACATAAAATCTCTAAAAACCTCATGAGATATATATATATATATGTGTGTATATATATATACACACACACTTATGTAAATAATAATGTAATTCTTTCTAAATCTGAATTGAGTTATTTCACCATAGAAATATATATTTTTAAGGTGTATACATCTGTCTTCAATAATCCAAAAAAAAAATTTTTTTAGTTTCTTTTATACTTCATTAAAAAAAAAAAATTACTCAAAAAACCCATGCTTTCTCCCTTTGATATGGCTCATCATTGAAAAACTTCAATGGTCTTGTTTTGTTTGGTCCTATATAAGCACCTGGATGGATCTGTGGAAGTCTTTAAGACTTGCACAGGTATAAACTTGAGTTCAACCAATAGTGCTATTGACCACTTAAAGCTAAAAGTAAATTCATAGGCAAAATAATAATCATAAAGCTAGTAGATGCCTTCCATTAATATTCATAATGAATAATTGTGTTTTAAGAAGTAAGTTTATCTAAAAAAGAAACAAATACTAACATTATACCCAACTCTAAAAGCAAATTTATGAAAGTCAAAACAAACGAATAAGTGATCTCTTGCTCATCCTTATGATAGGACATAGTGGACACAAAGGAAAAAGCATTGCATTTGTATAAACTTATATTCTTTCAGTAATATACCATTGATAATTACAAAAACCTTAGTATTGAAATAAAGTTCAGGGCCTATTTATTTTTCAATTACATATATTTCATATGTGAAAAACTCATGCAGTTCAATTCCATTTTTTTTTCAAAAGTAAGAACAAAAAAAAATCATATTTCTCCCTCTAGTGAGCAATTTCTCTTTATAGGTACAAGACAGAAGACAAAAACCTATATTGTTGCTGGCTGGTATGTCATACAAATCCATTTTCAGATTTATGTGATATATGTTGCTAAGCCTTTGTTAAGCAGAAAAAAAATCCACACCTCTAAGAGGAAATATGTATTAATTAAGAAAGTTTTTTTTGTTTTTTGTGTTTTTTTTTTTTTTTTTTTTTTTTTGCTTTTTGTATTTTAAGTAGATTTTCGCTATTTTAACTTCTGTCCTTTGTTAAGATTCTTGCACTGGAGTATGGTTAGGATGATTTGTACATGAAAACAGGTAGAGGAAGATAGCTTTGTTCCCTCTATCTACTCTTATTATTTTAGAATGAATAGTTTATATATCCAAGTAAATTATCCTTAGTATTCATCTTTGTCACTTTCTCTTTTTCTGTCTGACAGTCTTTATCTATTTCTATCACTCTATGCAATGTGAGTCTCAGATTGGGTATTCACTACAACTGTTGATTACTAGTGCCTGATCTGAAAATCAAACATGAGAGGATTCAAAAGGAAAGAGATTCTAAATATCCATTCAGAGAATATCTCCTATGCTTAAGATTTTACTCTAAATGGTGTTAACATTTCAATATAAAATCAGTCTGCAGGATTGTACATTTAGCATGGCATATAACTAGCAGCCCTGATACAGCCTTTTTTTAACATCCCAATAAAGGAATTATAACTCAAAAAAATTTTTTTCTTATGGTGTCTTTGAAAAGATCTGGTAAATGATTCCCAGTATCTGGAGATATTTTCACTAAGTGTAATATATATTGAAAAGAATTGGACTGAAAAAATAATTGAAAATACCTCTTGCTATGCCAATGAAAACTAAGAAAAGTTACCCAAAAAGGAATTAAGTGAAATAATTACCACTTTTTCTCACTCCCTTAAATCCCAGCCGTGGACTTTATCTGCCACATCGATCGAAAAGATGGTGAACTCTTGTGCTCGCTTCAGCAGCACATATACTAAAATTGGAATCATACAAAGAAGACTAGCATGGCCCCTGCGAAAGGATGATGGAAAGAAGATGGACTCTTAACTATAAACTCTGAAACCAATTTGTCTACAGGACTTATAAGTTGTAACAATGAAATTCCGAGGGTAAACCAAAGAGACTTGATGAAGAGGCATCAAAAGTTACATTGTAAAGTGGGTATATTGTGATTTTCAAAAGTTAAATATGTAAGTAAGACAAGGTGATTTAAAGCAGGCACATTTTATATGTTCCATATATGAAGTACTTTTTTTGTGAGACAGGCAAAGGAGCTGGGATTACATTTTCTCTGAAATTGGCAAATTGACATAAACTAGATATTTGCCAGATGTTGGGAAAGAAAAGCCATACATATCAGACTGCTTTATGTGAACATCTGAAAAAATTATTCCACCAGCACAAATGTGGATAATAGATGGGTACCTAGCAACATAGATATCCTATATGGGTTATACACAATTTCTCAAGGTTAAAACTTGTTCTGTGATAAAAGAGAAAATAAGCATTCACACATAAATAGTTTTGGGAAAGCAGAAAAAAAGAAAAAATAAGAAGAATTTTTTCTGAAGAGTTAGAAGAAAAAGAGGTCTATGAAGTAGGTTTATGTACCACAGAAAATTGAATATTCTTTATAATTTTGTGGCCTTGTTCTCTGAAAAAAAGAATAGAAGGTACAAATAGGAAAATTGAGATTAAAGGCACAGGTCAAAATCCAAAAAGGGAATATTTAAGGGAATTAAGTCTGTTTCCTACTTAATACATTTGAAGTGACCAAATAGTATTTATGCAATGGAACAAAGAGTGGAATAAAAATAACTGCAAAGACTCCCCCCCAAAAAAAAACCCCAAAAAACTAATAACAGAAATAAAATCTACATTGGAAATACAAAGAACAGAATTTTGACAGTGGAAAGTGGAATTAGTATAACAGTGGTAAGCTGAAAATTATCTCCAAGAATGCAGGCAGAAATGACAATAACATAAAATAATGAGAGTAAGGACAATAGGCCTTAGGTTGGAATTGGTGACAACATAAAAACAAAGAAATGCTGAGGAAAAAACATAAAATATTGAAATAGAAATAAGTGTCAGATATTTTCAGTGCTTAAAACATACATGGTATATGTAGAACAAAAATTCTTAACCCAGGAGAAAATCAGTAAAACTCTACACATTGTTAAGCACATTATATCATATTTTAGAAGAGAAATAAAAGAGACTGCTCTGGTAGGTTTTTGTACCTTATTCTTTTTCTTCACTTGGTTATCTCTGCTAAATGGGAGCACTATTAATATTTTTATATAATAATCTTATTAATCTTTTATATTATTTCTGGTTATTCATAGATTATGTTGAAGTTTTTACATAAATAACTACATTTTCTAGAAACAACTGTAATTTATTAACATTCTTTCAAAATTTATTTAGATTTTAATATCTGGCATATACCTTAGTGTCTAGGACATCCAGCACAATTTTGAACTGAAACTATAACAATGCACATACTTGTATAGTTCCCAATGTTACTTGGGATGCTTGTGAATTTCAATATTAAGTACGACGTCTGTTAAAAAATTTTGTAGGTACTAAAGTAAAAACTCGAGTTGTACAAGACCTTAATATTGAAACTTAGAGACTATGATTAAAGAACAAAAAGCATGTCTATTAGTTAGGAAGAATCAAAATTATAAAAACATCCTTTTTCTTGTAGTTGTCTATAAATCTAGTGCCAATCTCATTAACATATCAATGAGAAATTTTTATAGAACTTGAAAAACTGTTTCCAAAATTCGTATGGAAGACTGAGGTAATTGTAAAAATACAGCATATCTAACCAAGGAGGGAGAATTACTACAGAACTGAATATAATTTTGACAAAAGTGCAAATGATGAATCAGTGAGACAGAAGCTAGGTCAGATATAGAGAAATAAATACATGTGGTTATTTGCCATATGTCACATGACACATGAGATAAGGCACATTACATATCAGTATGCTGAGTGTGGACAGTGAATATCTATCACATATAAATATAAATAGACATATTGACATACATTTATATATCACATATAAATACATATACACACAATTGAATCCCTACTTCACATACTACAGTATAAAAGTCCAGGTAGATTAACATATACATAAAAAATAAAATTTTAAGTTATTAGATAAAAATGTAGAATATCTCAGTGATTTTCTCAGTGATTTTATATTTTATATAAAATATATATATATGTATATATATACATACATACATATATACAAGAGTTCACCATCTTTTCGATCGATGTGGCAGATAAAGTCCATGGCTGGGATTTAAGGGAGTGAGAAAAAGTGGTAATTATTTCACTTAATTCCTTTTTGGGTAACTTTTCTTAGTTTTCATTGGCATAGCAAGAGGTATTTTCAATTATTTTTTCAGTCCAATTCTTTTCAATATATATTATTACACTTAGTGAAAATATCTCCATATATATATATATATATATATATATATATACACATATACATATATATGTACAATTATATCTCACTATAGGAAAAGATGAAAATAATACATAAACAGGGGCACCTGGGTGGCTCAGTTGGTTAAGTATCCAAGTCTTGATTTTGCTCAGGTAATGATAACAAGGTTGCAATTTTTTAAAAAAACATTTTATTTACTTATTTATCAGAGAGAGCACAAGCTGGGGGAACAGCTGGCATAGCAGGTAGAGGGAGAAGCAGACTCTCCACAGAGCAAGGAGCCTAATGTGGGGCTCGATCCTAGACCCATGGGACCATGACCTAAGCCAAAGGCAGCTGCTTAACTGAGTCACCCTCAGTGCTGTAAAACTGATCCTGCATTGGGCTCTGTGCTGGGCATGGAGCCTGCTTAATTTTCTCTCTCCTTTCTCCCTCTACCATTGCCCTTCTCTCTTCCTCTAAATAATAATAATAATAATAATAGCAGAAAATATAAAGGAATATATTCATTTATTCATTCATTCAACAAATATTAAGCAATTGGTATGTTCCTGAAATTCGTCCCAGTGCTAAGGATGTAGCAGTTAATGCAAAATTTCCTGCATCCATAAAATTTAAATTTTCTCACTTCATAATTTTATCTGCATTCAAAAAACATGCAAATGTGAAGGAAAAAAGACATTTGAACCATATTACACACAGAAACATTATACTTAATTTAATTTTTTAATTAAAAATAGAAAACAAAACAAATTTTAAAAAAAGCAAATATGAGAGATAGCAGGGTGTTCACCATTTGCTTCTTTCCACTCATTTTCCATCTTTTCCTACCACTTTCCATATCCCAGGACACCAAATTTTATAGATTGAATGAACGTGAACCCTTATTTCTAGCTTCACATTTGGGTTTGGCAGATGGGATCCATCAATCAGCAGAAGCTGAGAAAGTAATGAGAAGAGGAGGAGAAGGTATTTACATTTCTCTCTACCTACCTGCTTGGGCACCTGGTGTTAAGTGCGTCCCTCTACAGAAGTCACATCATCTGTAAGGCAGACATCTCCTATACTCCTTTTTTCATGCCTGTTCTATAAATCACTTTCTCTATCAGACCTGCTAGTATCACCAACTCTCTTATGGTGTCAGCTCCAGGGTGCTTTAAGGCTTCTTGCTGATCAGCCTCAACACTGCCCACAGCTTTGTAAAGTGGTCCTTTCTTAAACTCTTCAGTTATCTCCTTGGAGTATAACATCAGTTTTCTGTTAGAATCCTGCCTGATATAACTAACAATAAAAATGAAGAGGAGGGAGCCTGGGTGGCTCAGTGGGTTAAGCATCTGCCTTGGGCTCAGGTCATGATCCCAGGGTCCTGGGATCAAGTCCCACATCATCTTCCTTGCTCAGCCGGGACTCTGCTTCTCTCTTTGCCTCTCCCTGCTACTTGTGCTCTTTCTCTCTCTCTCTCAAAAATAAATAAAAATAGGGGCACCTGGGTGGCTCAGTGGGTTAAGCCTCTGCCTTCTGCTCAGGTCATGATCTCAGGGTCTTGGGATTGAGCCCCCCATTGGGCTCTCTGCTCAGCAGGGAGCCTGCTTCCCCTCTCTCTCTGCCTGCTTCTCTGCCTACTTGTGATATCTGTCTGTCAGATAAATAAATAAATCTTTAAAAAAATAAATAAATATATTTAAAAAATAATAAAAAATAAAAATGAAGAATGTCACAGAAAAACAACCAATATTTGGCAGTTTCAACCCATTGGAAAGGCAGCACTTTAAAAAGTCTGATAATACCAAGTGCTGCCAAAGATAGAAATGATTGCTGGGAAGGATATAAAATATTGTATATCACTTGTTTAAGAGCAATTTGGATATATACAGCAAAGTTATATAAACTCTATATGTAAACAGTTATATTATGTATAGACTTTTTTAAAATTAACATACAATATATTATTTGTTTCAGGGGTACAAGTCTGTGGTTCATCAGTCTGACACAATTCACAGCACCCACCATAATATATATCCTCCCCAGTGTCCATCACCCAGCCACCCCATCCCTCCCACCTCCCCAGCAACCCTCAGTCTGTTTCCTGAGATTAAGAGTCTCTTATAGTTTGTCTCTCTCTCTGGTTTCATCTTGTTTTATTTTTCCCTCCCTTCCTCTATGATCCTCTGCCTTGTTTCTCAAATCCCTCGTATCAATGAGATCATATGACAATTGTCCTTCTCTAACTGACTTATTTTGCTTAGCATGATACCCTCTAATTCCACTCACGTCATTGGAAATGGCAAGATTTTGGGCTTTTTTATGGCTGCATAGTATTCCATTATAGATATATACCACATCTTCTTTATTCATTCATCTGTTGATGGACATCTAGGCTCTTTCCATAGTTTGGCTATTGTGGACATTGCTGCTATAAACATTAGGGTTCACATGCCCCTTCAGATCACTACATTTGTATCTTTAGGGTAAATACCCAGTAGTGCAATTGCTGGGTTGTAAGGTAGCTCTATTTTCAACTTTTTAGGAACCTCCACACTGTTTTTCAGAGTGGCTGCACCAGCTGTGTTCCCACCCAAC